GTTATCTTCTTTTTTGGGGACTGGGGATACTGGAGTTTGAACTCAGGTTCTTGTATTTGCTGGGCAGGCACTTTGCCACTTGAATCATGTCCTCAGCCCTTTTTTTTTCTACTTTGTTTTCTGAATAAAGTCTCTTATTTATGTCTGAGTTGGCCTGGACAGTGATACTTCTATCTACACTTCCTGAGTAGCTGGGATGACAGGCACATGCTACCACATGCAGGTTTTTATTGGTAGAGATGGAAGCTTAGGAAATTTTTGCCCAGAGTGGCCTTGAACCTCTATCTTCTTGATCTCTGCCTCTAGAACATGTAAGATTACAGGTGTGAGCCACTATGCCCAGCTGCTGTCATCTTTAGAATTAATTTAGTCATAAGGGTTTAAGAAGGAGGACATTTTAACATAATCAAGTGCATTTAGATGGAAAGTTTCTTTTGTGTTAACTTGACTTTGGAGTGACCTAGTTACTGAACTAGTCACTGATGATTTGGTCACTAGGCAAATCAAGCTTGCAAGAAAAAAGCCATTATTCAAAATTCTGACTGAAACCATTTCAATTGTTTATGTATATACCTCAATATGAGACGTCTAACTAGAGCAGGCACTTCCAACAGGACCAAGATAGCATCTCTTCTTCAAGGTTTAGGTTTTGTCCAAAATCTCTATGCATGGAATAGACCATACCCAGAGTCACTGCTCCTGCAACAAAGCCTTGGGCTGCCACGTGCATGTACAACAGGTGAAGTGACACTTTTGTATTTCATCTGTTCTTCAATTTGTACAGTTGGTATGCAACAATTGCTGCAAAGCCTGTCATTCCAACATGGGCAAATGGTGCTTTTTAAACTTTCGGATAAATTTAGATCCCTGATCTTCATCATATGAATTAGAAACATCTACATTGCTTGACATAGTGATTAAATAATCTTCTGAAAGTGACAATCTCTACGATTCAACTGGCTTCTGACTACAGCCTGTGTGCCTGGTCCAGCCAGATTCTCCCTGTACAACCCACAACAATTGACTTTTGTGTATTAACTTTGTACTCTGAAATATTGCTGAACTCTTATAGAGCTCTCATAGTCTTTTTGTGCAATGTCTTTTGTCATATAATCTTGAAAGTTGTACAGTGTCACTTCTGCCATACTCTATTCATCAGAAATTAGTCACTGAATCTAACCAACACTTAAGGGGAGGTGATTTAGGGTCCACTTCTTGAAGAAGTGTTAAAAGAATTTATGGACACTTTTTAAAAACTATTGCAATATGCTATAGTTGTTGGTTGCTTGATATCAAATTGCTATTTTAGCCCTTACTTCTACTTGAGTTTCTTCTCAGTCCTAGTCCTCTACTCCAGAGGTAGGAGTTGAAAAAGGCATGAATCTCAATGTTCTCTTTAAAACAATACTGCATCCTTATTTGAGAAAGATGGAATGGCTTCTTCCTACTAGCTTGAATTGGGACAAAGACTGATTTGAACCAGGTTTCCTGCTCCTATAAAAAGTTACTGAATTGTATCAACATAACCAACAAATTCAACCTTTAAAAGTAATGCAAGTGGGAAGTCAAACCTTACTCATAATAGAAATGGACGTGCTGCTTAGTTACAGTTTCTCTCGCTCATTCCCTCCTTCCTTCTTCCCTCCATACCTCTTTTCCTGTCTTCTCTCTTTCAGAAAGGCATGTATAATGGTTAATAATCTTACTCCTGTTTGATCACTAGGACATAGGCTGCTGCTCCACATCTTTAATTCCTCCTTAGATTTTCTGGTAAAGTACTTGGCTTTCATGATTACTGGATGCCTCATGAACTTCTTCTCCCCAGAACTTTATAATAGTCTGGCTGCATTCATTAAAGATGGTAGCTAATATTGTTTCAACAGCAATGACCTTTTTCTGCTTCATCAAAGATCTACGTTATGTTGACTTCTTCAAGTGGCAATACTTCATACTGCCCTCCCCAAAATATCCAGAGTGATATTTATGACAACTGATCTTATGCTGATGCACGCCACCAGCTATCTCAGACTCTTGGGGCTTCCAGTGCTGGTCAAGGTGGTGATGCGTGTGGCTCACATGGCTCGCAATTTCATATCCTCTCTGTTTAGAGGGCAGGCTCAAGATGGGTGAAAAAGCTTATATAAATGTTCTACAAGAATAATTTAAAAATTAAACTTGATGAAAAATAATCACAATCTACAATATTCTCTTGGAATTTGGTTCAACATAAAAATGCTTCTGCTTATAAGCAGTGATGGGATAATAAATCATATTTAACTATATGTTTATTGGGTAAATCATTCTATGTATCTGTTTAGTTCAAAACTGAAATGTAATGGGAACTTACATTTATACATTACAAGGGCTTAATTCTTAGGCTCTCCTGTCTTTTGAGCATTTCTTACAGACTACTCATAGCTCACAATCATTCCATTATTTATTGAAAATAAGAAAATCCAATACTCTAGACCACTGAACTATTCAAAATGATTAAGTATGGCATTGACCCTTCATGTTCCTACTTCTGCTGGCTCATAAACCATTCCAAGAATAAACAGATTCTACAGATGAGAGTGTAGGACAAGTTGAGTGCTGACTTCTTATGAGTGCAACTGTGTCTGTTGTTCACATAGAGAAGGAAGCTACACAAATGAAGGAAATGATCTAAAGTGTCACTACAAGTATTATCTTATTTTCAGGTTTTTTTAAAGTTATAAAATATATTTGTCATTCTTTCTTAATGTTAACTTAATCCTCCACAAAATAAAACACGAAATCGTTGTTCAAAGCAGTGATTCTAAAGATTGAAAGAATGACAGAACCTGTTACAGGAATTACCAGAAACCCTTGGTAGGCACTTTCTTCCTTTTTTTGGGGGGTGGGGAGCAGTCCTGGGGTCTGTGCTTGTTGGACAGGTGCTCTATCGCTTGAGCCATGCCCAGTCCTGGTAGGCATTTTCAAATAACATTCCTCTTTTCCCCTTCACTGAGTCTTTGACATGAGTTCTTAGGAGCTTTCAATTCTAGCTGAGCCATGTAATGATATATTTGCTAAGTATTTATTGAGCATCTACTAAATGCTGGATACTATACCACAGACCGGAGACTCAGTGAATCGGACAGGGACACCTTCCTAATGCACTATGCAATCTGGAGTTGGGGCAGGAGACAAACATTGATCAGATAATCACACAGGGAAGTGCAGGATTATGTGTGATCAGCATTATGAAGGACAGGTGCTCAGTGGTGTGAGCAATTTTATCTTAACTGTGAAAGGGTGAATTGGTGAGGGAAAGCTTCCAACAAGAAAGAGGCTGGGATTTGAAGGAAAGTGAGATGAGCTTTCCTGACAAAACTGTGGACCTGAAGACAAAACCTGTGCAGTTCAGGTGCAAAGGGAACAGGGAGGAGGTAAGAAATGGAGCTCGAGAAGTTGGAAGGAGCCCAATTGTGGAAAGCCTGTAGATTACATTGTTTATATCATTTTAATGAAAATTAGGTGAAATCACTGCCTAATCGATTTCTAAAAATAGTGAATTAAGAGTAAACCTTTCCTTTGTATGTTTCTCTTTTCTTTTTCTTAAATGTAAACGGAAGAGGACTGAGGACTGAAGTCACAACTACAGTTCTCCTTAAATGTTCAGCTACTCACATTCCTCTCTGAAGATTTTAATTCTCCACTAAGACTCATTCTTTTCTAGTGGAGCCTCTGTGCTGATCCACTCACACAATGTTACTACGTAATTTTGGAACTGATTTCTGATGTCATTTAATTCAGTTTTATCTTGGCCTCACACATTCTGCTGTAATTATTAACCAGCCTGTGCCTCAATTTCTTAACCTAAAACAAAGTTAAAATACTACTTACCTCACGTTAATTTATAGGTAAAGCAGTTTCAACAATGCATACGATAAGTGCTAAAAAAAAGTAAGCTTTTATAACAAGTGGCTTAGGTTGAAAATTTATTACAAGTATTACCGGTTCTGTGCTAGCAGATCTCAAAGTGTGGTGTGGGAACCCATGGGAGACGGGGAAGAGTTTCTCAGGGTCCTTCGCAGCGGTGCATGAGGTCAAAACTCTTCTTAACACTGTACTGTTACTTGCCTTTTTCCCCTCATTCTCTCAAGATGCAGTGCTCTTCAGAGCTATGCAAAAAGGGTAACATTCATATACAGCAAATCCAGCTGTCTTCTGTTAAGATGGACAAAGACTTTTCTCACTAAATGTTTTAGTTTTGAAGTTGTCACAAAAATGTTTTTAATTGCAGGACTGGGGTTTGAACTCGGGGCTTCACGATTGCTAGTCGCGTGCTCCACCACTTGAGGGCCCCCACAGCCTCAAACATGTTATGTGTTAATGTGTATTGTTGTATTTTAAAACTTTTAATTCGAGTTCAATGAATTTTGATATAACCTACAAAAACAAAAGCTCTTGCGGTGCTGTTTCAGGAGTGTAAGGGATCCAGTGATCTGACGCAGTGTTAGAACAAACACGGACGCCTCGGGATGCCAACTTCACGCTGTCCAGTCGCCACTTCTCGTGGTTTCCTGTGCCCAAACTACACTTCCACTTTTGCCTGCCCAAGGTCCTACCCCCTTCGCAAGAGCTTGGCGCTTTCAGGATTCGCACCCTCCTCCGCCATCTGGGGATGTCCTGGTCTCCAACACTAGCCCTCGGGTGAACGTTCGGGAAGGCTGAAACTGTTATGGGCGAGGTCTGGACTTCTCCAGACCATGGCGGCGCAACTACTACATTCCCAGACTAGGCGGTCACCAAGCTCAACTAAGCCTAACAGGGTAGGAAGGCCATTGGGAACCGAGACTGAGACAAGCGCCGACAGCGTGCAGTCAGTAAGACGCCACACAAGCGCCAGCACCGCCCCTGGCCCCCGGGGTTTCCGGCGCGCCCTGCCGCGCAGGGGCGGAGCCGCGTGCTCATAGAGGGCGTGACCATCAGTCCGCGCGGGAAAGGGAGTCGGCGCCGCATGCGCGCGCACAGTCAGCGGCCGCGCGCAGCACGCTCAGGGCGGGATGGCGGCGGCGGCGGCGGCTGAAAGTGGGACGCCCCGGGAGGAGGATGGGCTCGGAGGGGAAGCAGCGACCCCACAGCCCCAAGCCCCGACGAATGCGCCCGGGGCTCGTCTCTCGAGGCTGCCTCTGGCGCGAGTGAAGGCCTTAGTGAAGGCAGATCCCGACGTGACGCTAGCGGGACAGGAAGCCATCTTCATTCTAGCGCGAGCTGCGGTGCGGAGGGAACGCAAGGGCACGCAAGCTTGATGGGGCGTGGCGCGTGACGGGAGGTGGGGCCTTCCGGGGGCGGGGCCTTCCGGGGCGGGGCCTGGAGCAGCTGGGGCGGAATTTGGAGAGGAAGGGGAAGAGGTGGGCGGGTCCAGGTGTGCTAAGGCCGGGGAGAAATGTGAGGGGTGCTAGGCTGAATTCTGAGGTGTGTATATACAAGAAGGCTAGGAAGAGGGTCACAAGCCTGCAGAGACTTACTGTTCTGTTAACCACCTGCCTCTTGATGAGGACCAGACAGTGGCTTTAATTTACATTCCCTTGGCTCCCTCAGAACTTGTAGAAGTCTGTTGAAGGACCGGGGTGGATTTACAAGTGAAGGAGGTGTTCCGACCTACTGGAGAACGGGTAGCACAGTGACCTACAGGGAGTCCAAGGCAACCTTAGCTTCAGAAATTTCCCGTGTGCTTGAGCTGCCTCCGCTACCCCACTCACAAACAGCCTCACTTTCTCACCCCACTCAGTGGTCTAAAGCCTTTGATCTTCCTTCTGTCGGTTTCCTTCACAGGAACTGTTTGTGGAGACCATTGCAAAAGACGCCTACTGCTGTGCTCAGCAAGGAAAGAGGAAAACCCTCCAGAGGAGAGATTTGGGTAGAGTGCCATTGTGGTGTCTGGTGTTAGGCAAGGGAGGTCTGGGTTAGGCTTGCCCTTTGCTGGTTAGGAATGCATCACCGTGGCAATTGGAGATTTGATTTCTGACTCTTGTTTAGCTGGTAACCCCTGCATATGTGTAAGCTTATATACACTGTTATCTCACATTCCCTTCTATGTTGCCAGACTCTTCTGATAACTTTCAGAGCAGAAACAATAAATGTATTTAGGATTGTAGAAGAGTTCCATTCTTCCCTCCTCCTCCCTAATTGATCAGCTTTTCTTTTGTAGAGAACTAACTAATATGTAAGAGTTAATGGTAGAGTAAAAAGAAACCAAGGGACATAGTTTATAAATGACCTCATTTGCATAATAACTCATGGCCTTAACTGTGTGGATTGTGCTGTTGGGCATGGGGGTTAATGTCCAAATGACGGGAGTTAGGTGTCCTTTTACCTTGTGTTTCAGATAATGCAATAGAAGCTGTGGATGAATTTGCTTTTCTGGAAGGTGAGTTTCCTATTTGTGGGTACGTCATTTCCACCTGTCTTTTCCATGGTGATGATGGGAGTTCAGACCTTAAAAAATAGACTCCCAATTTTCTCTCGTTTATGTAAGAATAATTCTTTCTACTTGCATTGCTAAATCTAGTGGGATTCGTTTTCCATCCCTGTAGAATTAGAATTCTACTGGAAAATTGCTAACCATAAAGAAGAGATAGATTAAAAAATTTGATTCTTCCTCAGATCTCTGTCCCTATATATAAATCTTGTCCCTTTATCATAATGTTAGAAATCAGAAACAACTGACAACATTTAAAGGGTCACCTCTTTTTCCTTTTTCTTCAGTAGTTTGTGTAAAGTAATTATTTTGCTGTACTTGCATGTTTCTATTTGTTCTTTAGAAGTTTGGATTAGCTTGCATACTAACTAAATCTTGTCATTGAAATAACATACATTTGAAATACCACATTTTTAACTACTTTCTCTCAGAGCTACTTCTGCTACTTAATTCCTAAATCTTCCTCAACACCTATGTTCTGACTGAATAGCTTTGTGAAAACCATGTGCCTTTAATTCATTCTTACCTTCTCCCTAACAGGGTTTCTCATTACTTCCTTTAAGCCTCATTGTCTTCAGAAATCTTTTCTTGATTTATTGCATTCATTTCACTCCTATGTTCTGCGTCTCCATATCAACTTAGGCCTGTGGCACTTCAAATATATTCTTTTAGATGTCTTTGAAGATAACATTCTCATGGACATATTCAAGTCAATATTGTAGAGTGTTCTCTCAGTTTGTGGATCTTTGTTTAGCGTCTCTTTCTACCTGCTTGTTTTTCTTAAACAGTTGCTTACATAATAACTTTTGTTAGATGCCTACCTTGCTTTATTATCCCAGTGTTTGGTCAGCCTTTGCAGTATTCTGTGTGTACTTGAAGAAAGGTTATTCTGTAGTTGCTAGGTCCATTATCAAATTTCATTATTGTGTAGTTCAAATTGTTTATGTTCTTATTCTTTTTTCTGCTTATTTGATCAACTACTGGAAGTTTCATATTAAAATCTCCAATGATGAAGATTAATTCTACTTATATTTCTGGGTCTGTTATTTTCATTATAAGACCATGCGATTAGCTATATACAAGTTTGATATTGTTATATATTGTGTGTAATTCAGTCTTTAATATTTATAAATTGACCATTGTTACTTCTAGTAGTGCTTTTTGCCTTAAAGTCTCACTATTAAAGTTTACCATTTTTCTTAGTGTTTATATGGTAAACACTTTTTGACTTCTTTTGGATTACTGTTCCTTTTCTTCCCTCTATCAGTCTGGAAGTTATATTCCATTTTTATCCTTTTAGTGGTTATCCTGTCAGTTATAATATGCATAATTTATCAAAGCCTCATTTTGGAACCTTTTCCCTTATGCTCAACAAAATGGGTTCTTAAAATCCATTAACTCCATTTTGCAAGTACCTCATTCCTGAATTCTGTGTCTTCGTCAGTTCACGTAAGGCATTGTTATTGCTATGTTAAACAGTCTGGCACATACCTTTATCTACGTATTTATTACAATCCTTTCATCTTTTCTTTCTGTATTTCTCCTCCCCCACTCGTGATCATTTCTTTCTTCCTGACACTAGTCTTTTGGAACTTGTGGTTGGCTGGTAGCTGACTCTGCTTGGTTTTTTTTTGCCATGAGAGTGCCTTTATAATTTTGCTGTTGAAAGATAATGTGTTGAATATGGAATCCTTGGCAGAAAGTTACTGTTGTGTAACATGTTGAAGATGTGATTCTATTGTTGTTTTTGGCTTTCTTTTCTTTTCTTTTTTTTTTTCTATTGAGAAATTGCCTGTTTGTCTTTTGAACCTAATTTGTAATTTATCCCTTTTTAAGATTTTCTCTGTCGTTGGGTATAGTGGTGTATGCCTGTAATCCCAGCTCTTGGGAGGATGAGGCAGAAGGATCAAGAGTGCAAGACTGGTCTGCATATGTACATAGTAAGTTCCAGTCTAGCTGGAATGAAACCCTGTCTCAAAAAAAGAGAAAAAAATAAGGTTTTTCTCTTTGATTTTTCTGTAGTTTCATTCTGATATGTAGAGGTGTGGATTTCTTTTTATATAGTCAGTGCTTGGGCTTCTTGAGTCTGGATTCTTTGATATGCCCTAGAAAATTCTCAGTCAGCATCTGAAGAGATACTCAGATATTGGCTCTGCTTGTTCTTTCTTGCTCCTTTCTCTCTGGGCTTTTGGTCAAACATACGTAAAAACCAACCCTAATTTTACCTCTTCATAATATGTTCTGTGTAATATTTTTTCTGACCTTCCAGAGTATTCTCTCTTCACAGTTCCTCTTTTTAATTATTTTTGTAGAGTTCTTAGTTTCAGTTTTTTGTATTTTTCCACTACTGTGAGTTCTATTTATTTTTCAAATCTTTTTTGTCATTTTTTGTTTGTTTTTTCTTGAAGAAACTTTGAGGCATATTTTTTATTTCTTGGAATAGTAAACCTAATTTATAGTCTTTGTCTCTCTCCCACACCCTGTCCCAGTATCTCTTCTAACATCTAGATCCTTTGAAACTTTTATAGTTTGTCTAATCCAATATACAGAGTTTTTTTGAGTTTATCATTTTTTGCCTATTGATTCTGTTAGTACTGTTTTTGTAAACTGACCATTGCACTTGAAAAAAATTATTTGTTGGATAATATGAGGCTTGTATCTTCTTCTCCAAAGAAGATTTTCATTTGCTCTTGCGATGTACTTAGGTACATTATCAGTGCAGGACCTCCTTAATCAAGACCTGAGACTGGAAGGTTATTGGACTACAGTGGTGATACAAATAGGGGTTGCAGGTCTGTGAGGGGTCTAATTTAATTTTGGTTCAGCATTACTATGAATGTGTTTCCTTTTGGGACTGCAGTTTAAAAAGAGGTTATCAGATCTCCTCACTCTGGCATCCTTGGGTGTTTGCCTTTTAGTTCTCTCAGCCTGCCAAAATCACAGCCATGTTTCTTAGCTCTTGTCAGCAGATGCCCTTATGGCAAAAGTAGCTATGAGGGTGGGCTTACTTGTGTCTTTGCCTTGTCTAGATTTTAGATTTGACGTTTCTTGGTACCCTTTCAATTCCTGAAAGATTTTCTTTAAAAAATAAAAATACATTTAGCTTTATCAGTTGGTCTCAGCAGGAAGTTGCCATTACCAAAGGTTTTTTATTTTTTAACTGTGTTTCTGGTTTGTTTTTCTTATGTTTTTTCCCCTGAATTATCTGTTTTATTTTAGGACTTTTAAAATAAATTTTGGTCTTTCCTTTACTGTATAGCTTTCTTCAAATACCCAATAATTCTCATTCTTTAAAGAATGAGAGAATAAGAAGGCTGTTGGGAAGCTGTGTGTGGAGTGTTGACAGTTGTTACCCTGGCAGCTCTATGTACTTTAGGCTGAATAACGGTGGGACCAGATGTTATATTGGGACCTCCAAAGGCCAGAATCCAAAATGCTTTGCCAGAGTGGTGTCAGAGGCTGCTGCAGACTCTGTAGATGGTCCATTGGGCTCTTTGAAGAGAGCCCTGTGTGTGTTTGATTTTTTTTTTTCCCCCAGGTTAAGTTTAAATGCCTCTCTTTTGCAGGTAGGAGGGGTGTGAGGGGCATGTGGAGGCAAGTATTTGTCATAACAGAAGCATGGGTTTTAACTTGTTTTTCTCTCACATCTCTTTCTGTCATTCCTGGTAACTGATTCTACAGCCTTCCTATGGTTCTTCTAGGCAAATGCCTCCCTTCTCTGCTGTAGCCCCCTCCACATTCCTCCTAGGCTCATTTTTCCTCTGCTTCATTTGTAAATATGCTTCAGTCAGATTTTGATGATCCAGTGTACTTGCTGAAATCCCTTAACTGCTTATGGGTCCCTGTTCTTAGTTGCAGATTTATACCCTTTAAAAACCTTTGCTTTTGAATGGAATCTTGAATGGGAGGGCATAAAACTTGTGGGTTTATTTCCCCCCTGTTAAACTGGGATTTTCTAAAAAAAAAAAAAAAAAATTATAAGCTCTTTGCTTAGAGAGATTTTCTCATTTATTTTGTTTCATCACCCCTTGTGTGCTCTCCATGAGCTAAGCATTAGTTAACACAACTTCTTAGCTCTTTTCCCACCTCTAACTCTAATTCTCTAGGTTGGTGTACTTAATTCCCAACTGCCCATGTAAAGACATATTTTGCCCCAGCATCTTTTGGATAGATATTCTTCAAAATTAGAACTACTGTCAACACCAGCACCATTCTATTTAACTTGCCCAGTTTGTCATTCTAAAACAGCTCTTGGGATACTATGTCTTACACATTGCCTTTTGTACTTGTAGGTACTTTGGATTGATTGCCAAGCTGGGCAGTTTTGAGAGCCACCGCTGTGTCCTTCAGCTCGTCCCTCTCTGCAGGCCTCAGCTTTGAAGAACAGTCTCTGCGCAGCTGCCTTCCAGTTCTACTTTTACCCAAGTTGGGATAAACAGAGATCTCATTTGATAGCTTTCTCTACAAGGTCTTCCACTAATGTTTGTCTTCCACTTCAGGACTGAATGCAGCTGCTGCTGGCTGTGGCAGAGATGAAGAAACTGTTGTGCATAGGTGGTTTAATGAATGATGAGGACCAGAATAAAGGTCTTTGATCAATTTCATTCTAGTGCATTTACCTTGATTCTTGCCCTGTGAGTGGAGAGCCACCATGCTCAGGTAGCTTCTTGACCTTCCCATTCTAAACCAGCATTTTCATTAATACTGTTCTTCATTTTTCCAGCATGTCACTAGAATATGCTTATATAATTTATAGAATACCATTTGCTTTATTTATTCAAATAAATGCAGTTGTAGATTGAAAACCAGTTAACATTTTATCCAAAGAGTTTTACTGAGATATAACTCATATATCATACAACTCACCAATTTAAAGTGTATGATTTATATCTGGGCAAGGTGATACAAGCCTGTAATTTTGGCACCTGGGAGACTGAGGCAAGAGGATTGTGAGTTCTCCATAGTGAGACCCTGTCTAAAAAAAGTAAATCAAAACAAAAAATAATAAAGCTTACAATCCAGTTTTTTGTATATTCACAAATATGTGCAACCATCATTATAGTGAATTCTTTGAGTATTTTCATATGAATGGAATCACGTAATACGCAGGGTTTTTTTGCTGGCTTTTTAAAAATTAGATTTAAGGTTTACCCATGGTATGGCATGTAAGCATACCTCTTTTTTTTTAAATTGTAATACTCATAATATGAAGTTTACTGTTTTAACTTTTTTTTTGGTGTACTGGGGTTTGAAGTAAGGGTCTTGAGCTTGCTAGGCAGGCGTTCTACCACTGTTAACTATTTTTAAGTGTGTAGCAAACTGGCATTTTGTACGTTCACATTGTTGTGCAGTTATCACCATTCCGTCTCCAGAATGTTTTTAATCTTCTCAAACTGAAACTTGAAATGCAATAAACAGTAACTTCCCTTCGTGCTCTCCCCCAGTTCCAGGCTAAATTTTGTGTTTTGTGAGAAGGTGTGTGTAACATAGGAAGGAGGCAGAATACTAAGAATGTAGTGATTAAGAAATACAACAGGAAGCCTTGGACAGTGGTTCTTAAGTATTTTTGTGTTGTGATCACTTTCAAGATAAAGTCCACATAATCTTTTTCTGTAGAATGCATAGATGCTCACTCCTGTTAACATTTTAAAAATAGAATAATACTAGATTTACATGAAAGTTATGAAGAGTGTTTTCTTTGAAGTACTGGGGTTTGAACTCAGGGCCTTGCAAAATCTACCACTTGAGTTACATCTCCTGCCCTTTTTGCTTTTTAGTTTATTGTTCACATAGGGTCTTGTTCTTTTGCCTTGATTTCCTGGAACTTCCTTCATCCTCCCTCTGCCTCCTGCCTTTTTGGGTTTTAGGTGTGCACCATGCCACGTGACCCTCAAAGAGTTCTCACATACCCTTTTCCTGGTAATCCCCCATTGCTAATGTCTTAACATTACCAGATACATTTGTCAAGGCTCAGAAACTGACCCGTATAGCTCCTTTTAACTGAAACCCATGTCTTGGACTTCATTTGTTCTCCCATTATTAGTCATGCTTCCCTTGTTTCTTCTGGTTCATGACAGTCTCTGTTTTTTTCCTTGATTTTTATTATCTTGACAGCCTTGACTAATACCGATCAAGTGTCCTTCAGAGTACGCCCCAGCCTGGGTTTGTCTGTTTTTCTTCTGATTAGTTAGACCCATAACTTTGCATAATAATTACACAGACCCTAGGGCCTCTTCCATAGGCCTCCTGTTATTGCAAGTGGGAATTTGAAAGGGGTTGTGGCCCTTTTTCAAGATAAATTATAGGTTGCAACACAATGGTGGGACGGGAATCAATGTAATGTGTTGCCACCAGCATTTTTTTAATACAGCAAGAACTATTGTTAATGTTGATATGTTGTATTCTTGAAAAATAGGACATTAGATGCTCTCACCAAAAAATATGTGAGAATGCACTTGAAAATTATCTAGATTTTAACTGCTGCAGTGTGTACATATTTCAGAACATGTACATGAGTAAAAACACATTGTTACTTGTCAGTTTTAAAAAGTGTTGAATTTAGTAAGGATATTTTAATTTTTGTTTCATTTGTATGTTTGTGTGCTAGGTCATTATATAAAATGTCTGTGCAACATTTTGGTACCCTCTGACCACACCCTTCTCCCCCTGGTGTTATGCCTGTAATGAACTACAAGCCAAAAAAGATGTTGCAGATATAACTAAGGTTACTAATCAGTTGACTTGAAAATAGATTATCTTGGATTGTCTAGGCAGGCCCAAAGTAATTACATGGTTCCTTAAAAGCAGAACTTTCTCCTGGCTGGGGTAGAAGAGGATTTCAGATTCAAAGCATGAAAGGACTTTTCTAGCTGTTACTGGCTTTGAAGATGCCGAGGGTCATTAACTAAGAAATGTGGGCAGTCTTTAGAAGCCGAGAACCATGATGGTCAGTACAGAAACAGCCTCAGCCGCACAACTGCATGAAACTGGATTCTGCCAGTTATCTATATGGTCTTGGAAATGTTTTTCCCCAGATAAGAAAGAGCCCAGGCCAACTGATATCTTCACTTTGGCCTCATGAGTCTGAGAGCAGAAATCTAGGAAAGATATGCCAGACTTCTGACCTGAAGAACCGTGAGACAATGAGTGTTAAGCTGCTAAAGCAGTAATTTGTTATGGTAGCAATAGAAAGTTTACATGTTTCTTACTGAGAGTCAAGGTAAAAAAATATTGTAATATCCTGGATAGGTCTTGGTTCTCATCCTACTACTATGATTACCTCAGGTGACATGTGAATCATTTGCCCTTTCTGAGCTTTCTTTTCAGTTGAGTGGGTTATTCTAAAGTTTCTTCCATATGACATTTTTCTTTTTTTGGTGGGACTGGAGCTTGAACTCAAGGTTTCTTGCTTGCAAAGCAGGGGCTCTACCATTTGAGCCACACCTCCAGTCCATTTTGTGCTGTTTAGTTTTGGAGATGGGGGTCTCATGAACTATTTGTTAGAGTACTCTGAGACCAGCATGAAAGTATATTTAATTTATAAATTCCCAACTGTTTTCCAAAGTTGTGGTACCATATTTCACTTATACCAGCAATGTTTGAGAATTTCAGTTGTTTTGCATCTTTATTAGCACTTTGTATTAACTTTAAAAACTAAAAGCCATTCTAATGGCTGCAGTTTTAATTTGTATGCATCAGATATGTGTTATGAGAATATTTTCCCCCAGTTCCATAACATATATATTTTAAATTCTAATTCTTAGTTGCACTCAGCTCTATCGGTGGGATAACTCAAACAAGGTGGGACTTCCAGGTCTTTCAGCTTTCTACATTTCCTTTTTTTGGTTGCAGTATTGGGGGTTTGAACTCAGAGCCTCATGTTTGCTAGGCTGGCACTCTACCACTTGAGCTACTCCTTTTTGTGCTGGGTATTTTTGAGATAGGATCTTGTGAACTATTTTCCTCAGCTGGCTTCGAACCTCTATTCTCCTGATCTCTGCCTCCAGAGCAACTAGGATTATGGGTGTGAGCCACTGGCGCCTGGCTATATTTCCTTTTAAGACTTGTGGAGAAGCAGGACTTCCTTTGTAGTCAACAACTCCTAGCCTGCCACGTCCTGCCTCGTATATCTGGCTGGGATGCTGGAGTGGAGCTTCCTGGTAGTGTAGATCATGCTTGGGATGGGGAAAGAGAAGGCACTGAAAGTTGATGTTGACAACACAAAGGCCTAATATTTAAAAAGAGCAAATCATGTCAAAAGTAGAAAAGTTTAAAATTTGTGCATGTTCTGTCTATGCATATGATCCAGGAGTCAGAAGTTAAGGCTAAATAGCTCTGAACATCTCAGCACTTAGGCAATTTTTCTAACTAATTGGTTCAGACTGTTTTCTGTCTTATCTTGAATTTTTTTTTTAAACTCTTCAGAGTTAAATGTTTCTTCTTTCTTCCTTTCCCATAGGAAAAGCAAGTTTCTTGGTTTTCTCAAGAGGGTTTAGGTGTCTTATGACCTTCAAGGAACAATGCATGCTAAGCTCTGGGAACACATACTGTGTTTGGTTCCAGAGAATGTGGGATATGGCATACAGTCTCTTTTCTCTAATGCCTAATTAAAAAAACGTACAATTCCCTCCCACTAAGTTCATGTCAATTAGAAAAATGTTTCACTTTCATTATGAAATAAGAAATAGGAAATATTACAGTGACACAAACTCCAAAAAGTGATGAATAAGGGTGACAGGGATTCTGGGGTTGAGAGGAAGACACCAGAGGTTATTTGTTACAGTGACAGAAAGCTGACACACATTGTTATCAGAGTGTTTGTTACCTCTTTCAGCAGTGCTTACCCAGCATTCCAGAATTTCCTATTCTGAATGTGGGTCACCTATGGTAACAAAGACTCTAAATAAGAAATGAGGATATTTCAAACACTCATAAGGGAAATACTGTAAGTGGAGACATATCTGCACATCAGACACTGAGCTTGGCTAATGAGCATTCATTTCTGAGAAAAAGGTTCCTTTTGATGTGTTAACAATCCCAGGTCTTTTAGCCTGAGACTTATGACTGAGATTATTGATGCTTTAATGCTACTATGAAGAACCTCTTTGGAGACTGCTAGAGAGCTTTTTTTTTTAACCAAAGATAGAAAACAAGTCCCTTGTATTATTCCTCACTCCCTAATAGAGTCCAGTATCACAAACAGAGAACGACTACATGCTTTTAAAAAGGCATCTATGCCAGTCAGCTCATGGTGTTTTCCTGATGAGCTGATAATGAGCATATCTCTACCTTATTAGTGAGGATAAATAGAGACTGACCATGGAGCTACACGGCAGTGACAGTTGTGGAAAACATAATACTTATCTCAGGGATGTCAATTCCAGTGTCATGAGCAGAGAACAACAGGCTTTTTAAAATTACATAAGTGAAAATAATGAATTCTCTAAAGGCTCTCATTATGTATTAGCATATATTAATTGTACAAAGGAGTTTCATTATGATTCTTCCATACATGCATAAATGTACTTTGATCAAATTCATGCCTTCTATTCTCTTTCTTATAATGCCTTATCCCCCCTTTTTCTTTTTTACAATTTTTCATGGGTTTCATTATTCTCATACATGAATATAAAGTACTTTGATCATATTCACTCCACATCACCATACCCTTCCACTTACTCCCCTCCCCCACACTACCCTTTAAATAGTACCCCTTTCACATTCATTTTTTTTA